CATAAAACATAAAAGAAAGCACTATACAGTAACACTGGAGTAAAACCAAAAGTTTGTTCTGACACAAGACTTGTAAGCAACATGAAAAATATGGAAAATTCAATTGAGAAAACTAACGGCCTGTTTGTCTCAGAATTAACAATGTCCATCTTGACACCTCAAACATGAATACTATATAATTTTAAACCTAATTGACTATCAGTTTTATATTACAAATGAGTATGAACTCACTTAGTTACCCAGGAGGGATACTCTGAAAAAAATCTTATTCACGATATAGCAATGCATATTTTAACTTTTCCGTTATATGTTACCTGTAAAATGGCGCAAATGTAGTTTTTATTTTTTGGCGCAAATGAAATACAACCTTGTGGCGCAATTGAAAAATTGGATTTTTTAAAAATTGGCGCAAATGCAAGGCGCCCGATCTGAGCCGCATCACACCTTCCAGACCACCCTTCCTTGAGTTTCTTTGTTCTGCATGCTTTCTTTTGTTCTTTAAAATTTTGGCGGGAATGTCAAACACACAATAAAACATAGAAATATCTAAGCGGAATAAAGACTAACTTTTAAAATTACGTAGAAAAAATCCACTAAATTTCCAGTGTCTTATGCGTGGAATCGAACTCAAGACCTTTAGCATATAAAGCCACGATTCATACCGGATACAAACTCACTGTTAATTTAACATATTTAAACGTTGTATCCGGCTCATAAAGGGTAAATACTACTATATAGAAATATATAAAGTATATTATCATTATTGTATGGCATTCTGAACTAGATGTTATGAAGCGTAAATGTTTTTTTCATATAGTCTAGTAGAGCTGGGATGTAATATGGTTATCACACTCGGACTTGGTGTGTCAGTGTAAGATCACCATCCGGCCTCCGGCTGTCGGTGTGATCTTACACTGACACACCGCGTCCTCATGGGATAACTATTACTGACATACCAGATGTTAAAAATGTAGGAATAGGAGGAATAAACCAAACAGATTTCTATTGTTAGATTTAACTTAAGATTTAAAGGTCAACTGTCCCTATTGTTGTTGATCAGGTGTTCAGATAGGTACACACTAGATTGCAAGTTCTGTAACTTTAGCAGAAAACTGGGCATCCCATTATTCAGTAAAGTGCAACAATTGATATCTATAATGTTATAGATTATATATAGCCAATATAACTAGAAAATGCATTTTTGCCATCTTCCTGCTTTAAATCCAGTCTAAACAAATATATCCCTCTATAGAAAGGATAATCACTCTATGCAGGTATTATCACCATATAGGGGGTTTGGTCCCAACCTGTTTAACAATGAACGATAATTGTTTAATCCATAGTAACGTATTACATGTATATATGTGTATGGATATTTGTACATACTTTTAAACATAATTCATATTCAGTTTTTGATCATCTTCCGATCAGCATGTAAAACAAAATAAAGGTATAGAACCACTAATTCAGGCCCGGTTGGAAAGAAAGTAGTACATATTTTAAACAAAATAGTTCCTACGCATAGCTGTATCTTTGTCAATAGTGGGAATATTTGGGTAGTTTTAGTATCAAATGAAAGCTTGGGGACTTGGGATCACTGTAGAACCCTTGTTGAAAGTTTTATTTGAATAATAAAGAAGTATATGAAATTTTAATAGGAGGGCTCATTTGGCCTGTTGTTCAGATCAGAAGTTCCTGTTATTGTACTATCAAACTTCCAGGAACCAGTACGCTCTAATATGCAATTAAAGGTATGTTGATTTTTTCAGCACAAGTCAGCATAAGGTACAGTATTGACATGAAATAACTGCCACTTTATTTGAACTTAAGACAAAGTAGCCATTTATGCTTGAAATTGCAGAATTTAACATAGAAAGCAATGGGCTATGCATTAGTGGTTTTATACCTGTAACTGACAGGCATGTGAAATTCTATTTTTAGAAATCATACCCTTTACAGTGAAAATTGGTCACATTTGTTGTCAGGAATCATGTTACATTATTTTTTTTATGTAACAATTATGTTAGTGTCAAATTACAGCCCTCAAATTGCTCCTATAAGGTAGTTTAGCCTTTTTTGGTCATTTAGCATGCACACAGTTAAGATTTTACCTAAAATTTAAATTTTTGGATTATCTAACACTGGAACCAATGAAACTTGTATATTATGACTAGTTTATAGTATAGATATTGTTTTTGGTCAAATTATCTAGTGAGTGTTCAAGTTTTATTGTGTTTCTTGGTGAATTATTTATTTCAAGGAAAATTGGTGTATACTTATATAGGAATTCCAAAATCTCTCTTGAAATGCATTTTATAACCATCTTAGCAAGTTGTCTAGCTTGGAGATACATAAATTGCTCTTGTTGATCCATGTTTATACATAAAAGTATGGTTTTTTACCAAATCACTCTCCTTTTCCAACATGTAGAAAAAAGGGGGGACAAAATTATCACTTATATTTTATGTTTGGACCACTGTATTTATATTCAAGGAAGAATCTCTGATAAAAATAAGACATATAGGTAAAACACTGTTATTTGAGTAGATATTAACAAATCAGAACTGGTAAAAACTGAAAAAGTGTCATATCTGTCACTATTGGTATCCATATGTAGTTTTCTTTGTTTAACGCATATGTTACTACCAGTCCAATTTGAGCTTGAATTCAGTGATATAGTGTTTTGACAAAAGCTATTTGTGTTTTTCTATGCTAGAAATAGATCATAGATGGAAATTAAGTCAAGCAGAAGTCAATATAACAAGTTTGGTGCTGTTATAGGTATAGAACCACTAATTCAGGCCCGGTTGGAAAGAACATACAAGAAAGTAGTACATATTTTAAACAAAATAGTTCCTACGCATAGCTGTATCTTTGTCAATAGTGGGAATATTTGGGTAGTTTTAGTATCAAATGAAAGCTTGGAGACTTGGGATCACTGTAGAACCCTTGTTGAAAGTTTTATTTGAATAATAAAGAAGTATATGAAATTTTAATAGGAGGGCTCATTTGGCCTGTTGTTCAGATCAGAAGTTCCTGTTATTGTACTATCAAACTTCCGGGAACCAGTACGCTCTAATATGCAATTAAAGGTATGTTGATTTTTTCAGCACAAGTCAGCATAAGGTACAGTATTGACATGAAATAACTGCCACTTTATTTGAACTTAAGACAAAGTAGCCATTTATGCTTGAATTTGCAGAATTTAACATAGAAAGCAATGGGCTATGCATTAGTGGTTTTATACCTAAAACTCCTGTAGTTTATATAAAACTTCTGTAGTCTATTTTGTGACTCGCATCTGATATTTTTCAATATAAATCTGCAGATATCGCGTTCTGCCAATGAGGAATTAAATAATTGTACCTCGTCTAAAAATACTATTCAACGTTTTCTGACACACGTTATGTCATTATTTCTCACGATAATTTTAAGATTGAACCAATTTTTATAAGACACCAGACAACGAGTTTTAATGGGTTATTTAACGTGATGTACTGCCAATTTCCTTATTTAATCTGAATCCGGAGTTTATTTTCGTTTTCATCAGTGACTTGCCGAACACATGTAGATCTCGTTCTTAGATCACACACTTTTAATTTGGTACGATGTTGATAGACTTTTAGTCCGCGAAAGAACTTGCCGCCCAGTAGTTAGTGGTACTGACTATACATTTGTATTTGAATGTTACTATCATAAGTCGATGCAACATGCAAATACAGAAACAACTCATCTTCCCGATCCATCAAGGGATACATGTAATCACACTGTTTAATGACAGGCCTCGAGCGTATCATAAGGGCAGTTTTCATGACTTCAACTAATAGTTTTCGAGCGTATTTGACGAAGTCTTTTTCAAGATTATAAATGATAGACTCGAACGTATAGACAATGATAGAAGCGTGTCGGATGAGGAGTTTGGTGATTCTAAATGATAGGCTTGAGCGTATAGAAAATAATAAGAAGCGTATCGGATGAAGAGTTTTCATGATTTTAAGCTTATAGCCGGATGAAGAATTTTCTTGATTTTAAACGATAGAATCTAGGATGTAGAAGAGTAAATGATGTAGAGTTTTTTCTTGAAATACTTTTCGTGTGCACTTTAATTCGTATAGACCGTTTCAGTTCTAGAAATCTTTCTAAATATTCAATGAATTAAAATTCAGTTCATACCTGATAGTTTTTTCTGTATTCCATTATTTCCTATTGTTATTCGAAGTTAGACAAATTTTGCCATACATTTTGATTAGTGATTTAACGTTAGTTTTCGGAATCTTTAATGATCACAACAGCTATGTTCCCTTACTTTGCATTAAACTTATTAAGACTAGATCAGGACAAACTCCTTAAACAATGTGATAATAATTATTAACATTTGATCAGGACAAATTCCTTTCATAATGAGACAATAATTATTAACATTTGATCAGGACAAACTCCTTTAATAATGAGATAATAATTATTAACATTTGATCAGGACAAACTCGTTTAATAATGAGACAATAATGATTAACACTTAATCAGGACAAACTCCTTTGACAATGAGATGATAATATATGATATTAGTTCAATTAAACCTCACGGCAAACCTACAAATCACCTGAGAAAAAAAATCGAAACTTTTTGAAGATTTATAGAACTCAAACGATTATAGTGTGATAAAAGTCCGAAAATACAGATGTCTTTAATTAACGTGACTTGACTACTAGTATTATCTCAGAGTAATCCCTTAACGTGACCCGACTACTAGTATTATCTCGGAGCAATCCCTTAACGTGACCCGACTACTAGTATTATCTCGGAGCAATCCCTTAACGTGACCCGACTACTAGTATTATCTCGGAGCAATCCCTTAACGTGAACCGACTACTAGTATTATCTCGGAGCAATCCCTTAACGTGACCCGACTACTAGTATTATCTCGGAGCAATCCCTTAACGTGACCCGACTTCTAGTATTATCTCGGAGCAATCCCTTTATTTGTATTGTTATGGTTTCAGGTTCCTAGCAGCAGTTCTGCTGTAACCATAAAACAAGGCATGAAAGTCAAACTTGATGTAAACATCGACGTTAAAAGCATCACCATAGAAACCGGTGGGGTCCTTGTATGGGACTCGAATAGAGACAATGTAGTTCGAACTCATTTTATTTATATACAAGGTACCATGGCGATCGGTGCAGAGGACTGCCTGATTCAGAAAAAGATTGACATTTTATTGCGAGGTAATGTAATAAAGTTGATAATAGATTGTTTAATTTTAGCATTACTATTGTCTGATTATTAAGGTTTTTTTTCCTTTCAATTACTTCATATCCAGAAATCAACGCCACTTTGCTTATTTGAATATTATACTAAAGAAATCGGATACGGGTCACGGAAATTATATTGAAATAATAGGGAATTTTGAAAAAAATGTCTGTTTTAACTTTAATTTAAGTGATAGACAGGTTGCCGGGACAGAAAATAAATATACACAACAATATACACCATTTAAACGAAACATAATGACTGTCGTTGCAAAAATCAAGGTTCCTGAGCTATTTTAAAAATCGAAGCGAGAGGCTTTTAACATTGCAGTATAAAATACAGACTAAAATGGCTGAAACGTCAAATTTGCAAACTTCGTGTTGAAAATTGGCTAACAAGGTCATTACAAAAACAGGTTGCCGGGATGAAACTTGAAACTTGAATGTCCAAAGAATAAGCAAGTCCAAACCTTGTATGTGTAGTCGTTGAACTCTAGGTTCCCACGTAAAGTTAAAATGCCCCTATTTCAAGAAGAATAAACTCACGAAAACACGAAAAATTCACTAAATTCGCGTTCATTGTTTTGATTTTGACCGCCTGACAACTTTACGGAAATATCAGAGTGATTATAAACAAGGACTCTGTGACGGGCAACTTATAATATCCGTGTTTTAAAGATTTTAATGATATCAAGCCAGTCCAGTTCAAACTATTATCACGTGGTACAATTCTCATTTACATATTATGAATATTAATTAGCAAAAGTACTACTAATTTCTGGCTATGTTTAGTAATTACTAAATACTAGTAGTCATTTCGCGCTGACTTTAAGATCGTTTACCTAGATTAAGGGCCATGAAAAAATATATAAGATTATTTCAATTACGTTTCATATGAATGCTTTAAAAAAAACAAGTATAAAACGGACTATTTCAAACGCAAAATCGTATTTTCAATAAAAAAGCGTCATTGATTATATATATATACTTACGTGAGATAAGTTTCAAGTTGTCCGTACTCTACGTCATAACGAGTTACGAAGGATGTACTGGACTTATATTGGTTTGTATTTGATATCTGACTATGCAATTGCAATGGTATATTTGAATTGCTTGAATCATTATTTAGGTGTGCGCTATGAGAACCCTGGAATCCTCATGTGTGGCCAGAAGTCCATTTGTGTTGGTGATGGTGGTACTCTTGAACTACATGGAAGAGATAAGCTATCCTGGACAAAATTGACGAAGACTCTTCCAAAACCTACTCCAAGTGATTTTTTCTTTAAACATCTGGTAAGCTTGACTGAAATAGAAACTTGTCAAAATACTTTTAAAAAATCGGAGAAAACATATAAATGAAATGAAAATTCTATCAAACATAATCTGCTTTCCCAATTGGAGTACTAGTATTCATTGTCCTGTTTGCGAAACAAGAAAACTTGATCCAAAAATATCAAAAATGGAGCATTTGTCCATAGAATATAGATTATTCAAACAATTTGATAAAAATAAATTTATTGAAAATTTAACAAATACTCCTTTTCATCTCATTGAATCGATTGGAGATGTTGATGAAGCAGCTAATTATTGGTATAATCTATTTCTGAGCACCCTAGACAAGCATGTTCCTAAGAAAATTAAAAGGGTGAAAAATACTCAACAACCAGAGTGGTGGACTTCTGATATAAATAGCGCAAGACACCAAAGAGATTATTTTCATAGAATTGGGGATATATATAATTATAAAATTTGGCGTAATAAGGTTAAAATTTTAGTAGAACAGGCAAAGAAAAATTACTTCCAAACTGCTATTTCAAATTGCAAAGATAGTAAAACTATTTGGAAGTATGTCAAAAGTCTAAATCCCAAAAAAATACATAATAATATTACGCATTTGGATTATATGAAAATAGTGTAATTCAAAATGATGTTGATATAGCAAATACATTTAATGTGCATTTCACAAATATTGCTGAAGGTATAGTTGATAACAAATTATGTAATAATGATGAAGGTCCAAGTTTAGATGTACTCAACAAATTTGTGAAATCAAAGTTACAAAGGGGTAGTGAAAAATTCATTTTACCAGAAATGAGTATTTTAGATGTAAAAATGTATTTAAAAAACTTGACAAGTCTAAAGCAACTGGTTTAGATGATGTTGGACCAAATATTTTGAGTATGTGCAGCGATGTCATTGCACCAGCTTTAACATATTTATTTAATCTAAGCATCAAATGTGGTAAATTTCCAAATATTTTTAAAACTGCAAGAGTTTGCCCAATTTTTAAAAGTGGCGATGCTTGTAATCCTGATAATTATAGACCAATAGCAGTTTTGCCTTGTCTCTCCAAAATCATAGAACGACATATAGCTAATAGTTTGTATATATATTTAAATAGTAATGACCTTCTTAATACTACTCAGTCAGGTTTCAGACCTAAACATTCGTGCACAACTGCACTTACTAAATTAGTAGATGAATGGTTAGCGAATATAGATAATGGAGAAATAAACGGAGTTATATTTTTAGATTTAAAGAAAGCTTTTGATCTGGTTAATCATATAATTTTATTAAAAAAGCTTGAATATTATAATGTTTCAAACTGTACACTAGACTGGTTTAAGTCATACTTGTATGAACGAAGTCAACAAGTTTTAAAAGGTCAATAACGTAATGTCTAATACTAAATGCATAAAAACTGGTGTACCACCAGGCTCTATCCTTGGCCCTCTGTTATTTATTTTATATATCAATGATTTACCACTGAACATAGAAAATTCATTAATAGATTTATATGCAGATGATTCTACATTACATAGTATAGGTATTGATGTACTTCAGTTAACTGCTAACCTTCAAAATGATATTCATGTAATTGAAAACTGGTGTTCGCAAAATTGTATGAAACTAAATACCAAAAAGTGTAAATCAATGATTATTGGTTCAAAACAGAGGCTTTATTCAACTGGGAACAGTTTAGATATCAAAATTTCAGATGAACAAATAGAGAATGTAGATTGTGAAAAACTTCTTGGTTTATATATCGACAAAAAACTAAATTGGAATGAGCAAATATATAAAATGTCATGTATAATATCAAATAGAATCAATTTATTACAAAAGATAAGAAAATATTTACCTATGCATATACGTATTATTTATTTAAATGCTTATATTCTGCCATTGTTTGATTATTGTTGCAATATATGGGGAAGTTGTTATGAAAGTGGACTAAATAAACTTAATAAGTTATTAAAGAAATCTGCTGGGGTTATAGTAGAAGCTGACATAATGACATCATCCAGTTTGTTGTTTAATAGTTTAAACTCGTTAAATGTGGAAAAACGCATTCAATATCAAAAGGCAATACTTGTATTTAAATCATTAAATGATATGGTTCCTAACCATTTACAAAAAAACTTTCATTTTATTGGTAATCAGAATTATAATTTACGTTCAGCTGATGAAAAACTATTAAATCTTCCGAAACCAAAAACAAACTTTTTAAAGAAAACATTTACATATTCAGGTTCTCAAATATGGAACAGTTTACCAAATGAAATAAAAATGAGTAATACACTTGTATCTTTTAAAACAAAATGTTACACATTTTTCATCAATTGTGCAAATTAATATGCTTTTTCATTATTATCTAGATACAATTGTATATTGTGTATAATATATCATTATAACACTTTGTACTTATAAATATGTTATTATTATTTTGAGGACTCTCAGGAAGATTAGTTTTAACTAATGGGATTATCCTCTTGAAATAAAGATTATTTATTTATTTTATTTATTTAGTATTCTCATCATGCATATATAGTTATGGGATATTTGCAACTGGACGTTACGCAAACAGCATTCAATTGCTTATTCACATCTTTTAATATTTGTCTTTTGGTTTAATTTTATTGGTTCCTTGTGTTCTTTTGATCTCATTTATCCTTTTGTTTATTCATAAATGTTTAGACTCGTAAAGGCTTATACATGTAGCTGGCTTTGTTGTATAGACAATGTTTTATTGTTGAAGACTGTATCTTTGTTTCCCTTCAACATATCCGTATATTCATCTTACGTTTAAACGGAAATGCAATACCCTTGAATGCAGAGAGGAAAGAGACACAAATATTACTATCCCACAAAATGAAAGTGAGTTTTTTTTAAAAGTCCTTGTTTCATTTTGTATATCTTGATTTGCAGAAGAGCGATAAAAATAAAAATGAATGGATGGAAGGACTCCGAATCTATGAGTTTGATGCTAAAACAATGAAGGTTCATAAAGAGAAAATGTTCTGTTTATCTGGCCAGTGTTGGTGGACAAATTCAGGATTCACGGACATTGGACCTTTCATAAACAGTAAGTACATTTAGTAATGACCATTACCTCCCCATGCGATCACCGTTTAATTGTCAAAAGTCTCATTACTATTGTGATGTCGTTGGTTTATCTGTGGTAATACTCCCGGCTAAGATGCCATAAAACGAGAAGATTGCCCTAGACGTAAACACGACCCATCGCGTAATCTGAAGAAATAAAGACACCTTTTAGTTTTACACAAGTGGTACCAGTGGCGGATCCAGAAATTTTCATAATGGGGGGCCCACTGACTGCCATAAGAGGGGGCACGCTTAGTCATGCTTCAGTGATTCCCTGAATTGTCAACCAATTTTTTCCCACAAAGGGAAAAGGGGGGGGGGGGGCACCCTGCCGCCTTAAATCCGCCTCTGTGGTATGACCTAATACTCATTTACAAAATTTATCTATAGTGCATTAAAACAAGTGTAAAGCAAATACCGAGCGTCTTCCCACAACTACACTACGTTTGAAAAAAACATTAATGTTCCTTATTTGATAAAATATTAGCACGGGAGGTTTTACTTTTAGCAACCAGTTCCGAATGCGAGTTTGAACGATTTTCTATTCATAATTGTTGGCAGTTATTTTGACAGAAAGTCTATTGACCTCGATTACACATGGAACGTCTGCTGATAATCAAATAATAACAACATAAACTGTTCAATATTGTGTTGAGACCTTGCAGTCGAGAGAATGATCTAAATATGTTGAGCTTTAGGCGGATAATGAGCTTCCAGTGTTATTTTGAAACACCATGCATGAACAGCAATGAATGCGTCATATACAGCTTTTTGCCTAGTTGACGCCGTCATTTACGTGTACAATGATTATAAAGAGAAAGAGGAAAAGTATAGAGAATAGTCAGGCATATGATTTAACATATATATTAAAGACCAAAGACACGATTGTCAATAATTTTGAATGCAAGATTGTCAATAATTTTGAATGCAATCTATAGATATAGCATTTCTGGTTTTATCTATTTTAATTCTATTTAAGCTTATTCAACATTTATAGATTTTCTAGGAAAAGTACCGATTTTACTAACCAATGTCTTTTCTTGCCATAAACATGATAAACTGGCCAGTTTCTTTGTAGTTTCAGGGGAAAGAGTTATAATTAGTGATAATGTTGTTATTTCAGGATAACTGCTTTTGTGTTAAAAAAGTGATTTGATCCCAATGATTATAAACTCATCATAGATACCAGGCTTAAAATGTTGTATGCCAGACGCACGTTACGTCTACAAAAGACTCATTAGTGACACTCGATTCAAAAGAGTTAAAAATTCCATATAAAGTACGATGCAAAAGAGCATCGAGGACCCAGAATTCCAAAAAGTTTTGCCAAAATATAGCTAACTAAAGGCAATTTATTCCCGATGTAGAAAATTCTTAGTATTTCGAAATTTTCAAAGTTTTGTAAACAGTTGATTTATGATTATGACCATGTCATATATAATATATATCTTATATATGATTCATGTCAACACAAAAGTGCTGACTACCGGACTGAAAATCTAATTGATGGTTAACACTAATTGAAAAATGCTGTTTACAGCTGTTCCAAATGGTCGTGTTATTGGTGTAGCTTTACAAAGAAAGCTAAAAGGAAGCAAGAATTTAGACGGCGTGTACGCTGTTCTTGAGTCCATAGGAGCTCAAAGAATTAGGGAAGTCGACCATGATGATGTTTACGCCCTAATAACAATTAAAGGTATATATAAACTTTAAAGGGATGGCAATACTGACTTTATGTATGTGACTGAGTATAAAGTATCCGTCTGCTCTTAAATCATAAGAAATCATTCATCTCAAATATTGTTTTGGGGATTGGGGAGGAGGGTACAGTAATAGAGGTTTCTTGTGAAAAGACGAAACACAAGATTTTCTTTTGAAATTGTATTAATGAAAAGGTAGACATTTAGGCTAGAGGTCACGCGTTCCTTCGAGTGCGGAAAGTATTTCAAATACAAAACTGAACTGGGTATTGATTGTCTGTCACGTGGAATGTAGAACACAACCACAAGAACCAGAGCAAAGTGTCCAGTTACCTGTTTGATTGCAGACCTATTGAGTAAGCAGTCCATATGTAGGTGTCCATTAGATAGGGTTAAGGTGTCCATTAGATAGGGTTAAGATTTCATGTTTTATTCACATGTTCATATTGTTGCAAGATTTGACAGCTGGACAATAAAAATCGACCCATCCCAAGAAATCATTTGCCTCGCCCATTTGAACTTTTCAGATAACACATAATTGTCTAACTACTTCTCCTGTTATTTAAAGGTGATCCCAGTTCTACAGTTGAAGATATAGATAGAATATCAGGCGACAAAAAACGAGCAAGAGTTACCATCGTAACAACATTGAACAGTGGAAGTAAACAAAAAATTGAAGTCTTGAGTCAAGTGAAAAGTGGAGACTGGTTCGGAACATTTCTAGACTTTACCGTTTACCCATTCAATACTGGATTCCCTCGACTTGACCTCGTAGATAATGTAGAAAGTTGGGATGCTGGTAAGTAGTATGCAGGTTCAGATCCAGAATTTGATGTATGAGCGCGCTCCTGAGAATTAACAGTTAGAATTCCATATTTTGACAAAAAAAAAAACGGCAGCTGTTATTTTACCTATGATTTTTTTTCTGTTTTAGGGGGAGGCTGCGCACCTGGTATGATGATTCTGATTAGATATAAAATATCTAGCAGCACCCTCGTCAAATCACCTACTATTGTTTACTTTCAACCCAACCATCCTTCGTCGTGTATTCCCTTGTACCCAATCATGAAGCTACAAACAACGTACGCAAATGGACTATTTAATAATCCAATTTCTGCATGTTATATAATAAACACGTCAACTGGATCATTGAAACTCAATTATTTCGTTTGACTTAATGCCTAGTTAAAAGTTCGGTGTAAAATTATTGAAAAATACATGTATAATTCCTGCCCTTGTTGAACTGAGCATACAGAATAACATGACACGAAAGAATTATTTCTCAGATAAATTTACATTCTAACTACATCTATAGTACTGGTGTGTTATAAAAGTATTTCTCGTTACAATTTAAACAAAGCGCTTCAAATTTAAAATTTTCGTTTGTAGGAGACAAAGTTTTGTTAACATCAACCGACTTTGATATGAACCAAGCTGAAGTAGGAATTGTCGCTGAATGCAATGATTGTGGCCCTAAGCAGATACGTGTTGACCGTAAGTATTATGTTAAACTGTTTTTCATAGGTCGAACTTTTGTTGGTTTTTTCTGCGTTCATATAGAATTTGTTATTTCTTTAATCATAAAATGAATCACTTGCGTAAACATAATTAATCAAAGCTTGATCCTTGTTGAAAGAAAATCCTAAAATGTACTTAGTACGACAACTTAAATTTTATAACAGCAGATACGTATTATATTAAAGCAGAGTTTAAACATTTGTCACTCGGGGGAGCTAAACACTTTGTATCCTTTTCTTTATAGTGTAACGTGAATTTTGTCACTGGGCGGAGCTTACACACTTTGCTACATTTTCTTTTTAGTTTACGGTGAATTTGGTCACTGGGAGGAGCTTAAACACTTCGTTTTATTTTCTTTGTAGTATAATACCGTAATTTGGTTACTGGGCGGAGCTTAACCAATTTGTTTTTTTTTTCTTTATTGTGTATTGTGAATTTGGTTACTGGGCGGAGCTTAAGCTGTATTTCCTTTTCTTTATAGTGTACCGGACTTTGGTCATTGGGCAGAACTTTGATAATTTATTTACTTTAATAGTTTATCGAGGATTTGATTACTGGGTGTACCTTCAACAAATTGTTTGCTTTCTTTATAGTGTACCGTGAATTTGGTCACTGGGCGGAGCTTAGAAATGGGATCGACTACAGAGGAGAGGTAGCCTTACTGACCAGAAACATCAGAATTCACGGAGAAATACAACCAAATTGTCCAAGTGAAAATGGAAATTGTCATAAATTCAAATATGACACTTTTGGAGGACACGTTAAAGTAAGTGGTGTTTTTGAAAATGTATGCGAGTTTTTTAAAATTGATATAGCTTCATCAGGCAACTTTTGCAAACATACAAAAGTATATAAAAACATGGATGCTCGGGCAACAAGCCATTAATATTAATTGTATGTCTATCGTCTTACACGTTATCTTAGTTTTATATGGGTTGATAAACATAACATGTCAAATCGTATTGAAATTACAACCTTTCATACTTGATGAAAACCGGTTACGTTTTTGAGGCACATGTCACCTTCAATACATCGGTAAGCAACAGGAAAATTAATCAAAACTATCAATTGTCCTGGTATCTGAGTTGTTTTAATCTGTTACAATTATTGTATTTGAATTTTATATCAATCCATAAAATGTAAATATATGTATTAAATGCAGCATGTGCTTCATACCTTGCAATCCTATCGCTTAAACTAATGGAGAAAGGGATATGTTATATTAACTCATGTCACCACATGCAAGTAGAAGACGCATTCTACAGCTAAATTGTTTGATAGACATATTGCCCACTTTTCTGATTTGACTCAAAATAATTCCACGTAGATGTACACTTGTCAAATATTTATCAACTGTGAAAAATGTTTCATATGGTATATTTATATTGCTTGTAATTAACAGGTAAACAGATATTTCAAAAATGTCCACTTGGAAGGTGTAGAATTAGAGAATATGGGACAGCAAACAAGTTTAGGTTTGTGTTTGTTTTTCTGCGGTTACGAGTGACGAGCTAAGTGGCAGTTGTTGATCTGTTTTGACTTACGAAACATTCTCATATCATCAATACGTCATCTGTTTGTAATTTGATTAACAGATATAACACAAGTATAGAAATTGGCTGTATGTAAACCAATAAAATAATTTAATGGTGTTTGGAAACCGGCTGAATTGGTTAACTGGGAAATGGAACAAAAAAGGGGGGTTACTTGCTTGTTGCAAAACAATGAAATGGTTGATTTGTATATTGAAACCTATGAAATGCTTGACTGATGTCTGCAAATCGATAAAATTGTTTATTGGGGGGAAAATGATAAAATGGTTGATTGATAATTGCAAACCAATGAACTGGTTGATTGGTAAATTGAAACCTATTAAATTGGTCGATTGGTGTATGGAGAGCCCCCCCCCCCCCCCCCCCCCCCCCAAAAAAAAGGGTTAATTGGTGTTTGCAAATCGATAAAATTAATGATTGATGGTTGCAAACAAATAAAACTGGTGGTCGTTGCAATTAAACTAATAAAATGGTTGATCGGTGCATTTTAATCAATAAAAGTAGATTGGTTTTTGACCAATGCTTCTTTTTATTTCTCTCCCCTAACAAGGTGTAATGCCGTGATACGTAATATACTAAGTAATGTTGAGATACATGTTACTTATTGTTGATTATTACCAACAGGAAATTATCCACTTCATTTCCACATGTGTCATGATACTGACGATGAGAACTATCCAAATCCACCATACCTCAGGAAAAATTCCATTCATCATACTTTTGCTCGGTGTATAGCCATCCATGGATCACATGGTGTAACGGTACGTTGATAATCACGTGACTGTCTTCGTTGCTCAGCCTGAAGTTGGTTCAACGTTGTTTCAAGTCACATGACAATTTTGTCAGAACAACGGTATATACCAACTACATGACAAAAACATCCATATTTTTTATTTAAAACTTGAAATGAATTTCGTTAAGTCAAATATATAATACGAGATAAGGTAAAGAGGTGAATTGTACTGTTTTAGTTGATGTTTTTCTTTCATGCATTGATGTTATTCCAATTCAATCTGTAAAATTTCTTCGAAAAGCTGTTATATAAATTACAGTTTGTTAAAACAAATGAGAGGGAACACGGAATTTGTCTTTTATAGAAATTTAAAAGAAAATTTATTTAAGTTTGGAGTTTAATACAGATTTGGATAAATAGTATTTCATTCGAGAAATATGCAAACAGATGTGATCGAAAATTCTTTTATGTAGCACTTTTTCTCCACTGTCATGCAAAATGGCATTAAAATTATTATTTCAAAATAACATTAATTCCAATGGCTTTAACTTACATTTTACCTGACTTTAACACATTCTCTTAACATTTTGTCTAACATTCCTTATTATTTATCATGAAGGTACAAGATAACGTGTGTTACGATCATCTTGGTCACGGAATATTCTTAGAAGATGGTGGAGAAAAACGTACTCTCATTGATGGTAATTTGATAGCTGTTACACGTAAAGGAGACCTAATCCCTACTGATAGAGAGTAAGTATATTACCAGAGTTATTTATTAAAGTTAATTTTAAGAAAAACAGACTCTATCGGATAGTTGTTACATCGGAAATCACACCACATCTCCTCATTTTGAAATACATGAACTTGCTAATACAATATTTGAATTCAATCATAACTGCCGGTGCTAATTTTAATTTTATGATTGCAAATATTGTTGTCTTTTATCCTAATGAAAACTGGAAAGCATTCGCCATGCATCGTCCTAAATCGATCGAACAATACTCCAGTTCCGAGATACGGTAGTTAGTTTTATCCTGCAATCAGCCCTCTATTGTACAAATACCAGGTACACACATAATTTTTTGCTTTATTTGTACTTGTAAAGTCTCCTGATACCCGCTTCCTTGTTGAGCAAGCGGTAATATGAATATTTCTTTCTGGTAACAGTTCATCAGCGTTTAAACTATGTCGATTTCTTTGAAAAATCAGAGACAATGATTGGGAATTAAACAACTAAAGCTCTAGTGCCGTGTGTTGGTTGCAGGATAAAACAATATATATACATTGTCGGAAATACAAAATGTATTTATACTCGCTACGAAACAGGAAAAAACTCGGCGAGCCTCGCTTTTCATCCTGTTTCTAAATCTCGTACAAATAAATTTTATATTTTCCGACAATGTACATATATTGTATATATATATATCTGTCCAACTGATTTTCATCACCGCGTGACGGGTGGGGGAGGGGAGGAGGAAATTTGATGCTAAACTGAACGAAATTTTCGGGAAACAATAATCTAATTAGTTGGGCACCCTCCTTTCAGTCGTACGGGACATTGATATTACGTACCTTCGGAACATGAATTATTTGTAGACTATCCTGCAGAATGACGACCCTGAAAATGCTTGAAACTTTAATAGGTACAGGGATACAGGCGCGCCTTCTATCTGATAAATGATGTCATAAAGGAGTGCGTAATTATCCTATTGTTTACATTTATTATATTCAATAATCTCCTCTTTTCAGTTTTCCGTCCTCATTTTGGATCACCAACCCGAAAACGAGACTGCGTAATAACATTGCAGCTGGTTCTGAGGTAAGATAATTTTGATCAATGACCTTTGTGTATTGTAAAGTGTATACTACACTATCTTTTATGTGTATAGTTTAACACTATTCTATTCAACGTAGCAACGGATGGCTTCAATTACTGTTTACTTACTTAGTTCCGAAAATACTTTTTTCACTTATAACCCCCCTTTGCGATTTGATAACTTGATAGATGTCTAAATATTAGATAAATAAATAAATAAATAATCTTTATTTCAAGAGGATAATCCCATTAGTTAAAACTAGTCTTCCTGAGAGTCCTCAAAATAATAATAACATATATTATTTATAAGTACATACAATATTATAATGATATATTATACACAATATACAATTGTATCTAGATAATAATGAAAAAGCATATTAATTTGCACAATTGATGAAAAATTTGTAACATTTTGTTTTAAAAGATACAAGTGTATTACTCATTTTTATTTCATTTGGTAAACTGTTCCATATTTGAGAACCCGAATATGTAAATGTTTTCTTTGAAAAGTTTGTTTTTGGTTTCGGAAGATTTAATAGTTTTTCATCAGCCGAACGTAAATTATAATTCTGATTACCAATAAAATGAAAGTTTTCTTGTAAATAGTAAGGAACCATATCATTTAATGATTTAAAAACAAGTATTGCCTTTTGATATTGAATGCGTTTTTCCACATTTAACCAGTTTAAACTATTAAACAACAAACTGGATGATGTCATTATGTCAGCTTCTACTATAACCCTAGCAGATTTCTTTAATAACTTATTAAGTTTATTTATTCCACTTTCATAGCAACTTCCCCATATATTGCAACAATAATCAAACAATGACAGACTATAAGCATTAAAATAAATAATACGTATATGCATAGGTAAATATTTTCTTATCTTTTGTAATAAATTGATTCTATTTGATATTATACATGACATTTTATCTATTTGCTCATTCCAATTTAGGTTTTTGTCGATATCTAAACCGAGAAGTTTTTCACAATCTACATTCTCTATTTGTTCATCTGAAATTTTTATACCTAAACTGTTCCTAGTTGAATAAAGCCTCTGTTTTGAACCAATAATCATTGCTTTACACTTTTTGGCATTTAGTTTCATACAATTTTGCGAACACCAGTTTTCAATTACATGAATATCATTTTGAAGGTTAGCAGTTAACTGAAGTACATTATTACCTTTACTATGTAATGTAGAATCATCTGCATATAAATCTATTAATGAATTTTCTATGTTCAGTGGTAAATCATTGATATATAAAATAAATAACAGAGGGCCAAGGATAGAGCCTTGTGGTACACCAGTTCTTATGCATTTAGTATTAGACATGACGTTATTGACCTTAACTTGTTGACTTCGTTCGAACAAGTATGACTTAAACCAGTCTAGTGTACAGTTTGAAACATTATAATATAAGAGAATATCTAATGGTAAAAATAAATGTATTTAACGATTTAAAATAAGTTTCTGATGTTTAATGCATAATTTGCTGTTTTTCTTTTATAAGTTTTTGAAATTGAAAGATGAATTATACATATAAAATTTGTTAATAAATGAATTAAATCTTTTATACCATGTTTGACGTTTAAGGAAGTATACTTTGCAAGTAGCTGAGATTCAACACTGCACGTGAAAGTATAACATTTGTCTTAACATTTTACAGGGAACGGGTATATGGATTATATTTCCCCACGAACCGACAGGTCCATCACGTGGCCTTGGTTTTATGGCGAGAGACGAAGCAAGACATACAAAGTTTACAGAAATTACAAATAATTTAGCTCATTCCAGTTTGTTTGTAAGTTTGCATTGTCTATGATGTGTTTTTTCTTTTTGGATAAATGCGAAGATCGATCTAGTGTTTTTCGCTGACAAACACCATTTCTGCAAAATTGGATTACCTTAAGTTTCGTTTATAAAAATCATTAAAGATAGACCTAAGGTAAGACACAGGAATCACTGGTTCGTTTATTTCAGCCATTTTATATTCCAAGCTTGTAAGTAACATATTATTTTACGACTGTTTCACATGAGAGCGTAAAATGCATTACCGAAACTGCCTATTGCCAACGTTTTACTGACACGAATAGTTGTGTCCTTTAATCCAGGTATTAACTCCTTTCGGAAGAAAAAAAGTTTCATAGTCAATGGACCAGACTTAGTTCTAAAGACACATTTGCTCTAAAAGTGAAATTTTAACAAACAAATATTTCACATAAGTATATAGAATTTTCGCTACTTAGGGGTGATGTCAGGTGCTTCGGAAGGGTAAACAGAATAATACTTTATAGGTAGATGTTTTTCTTCTAGGTTTTTAGGAATTTAATCGTTATATTTTTCAAAACATTTAATACAATGCCTAGATATACGCAAAGGGGAATGCGAACTATCCAGAAAATTTGAAAACGAACATCTGTAACAAAATGTTACATGTCAAACACATTCAGATTTTTTCCTGGTCCTATATTTTTATGATCATGTTATTTTTCAGGCTGGATTTTTCTTTGATGGAAGAATAGAAGACAATCTTGTGCGACAACAACACGTGACTAATGGCTACTTTCCACGTACCATGCCGAGAGATCCGAAAAATAATGATGCTAGAGACGATCCTGTATATATCAATAAGTTAACATGTAGGTATACAAGAAACAAATACTGTAATACTGTATTTCGCATTTAGTCCTTTCTAACTGAATTCGCGGCGATTTATTTTTGCGATTTTCTTATGGTCATGATGTATTCATATAAGGGAAGGTCCAAGTGTTACATATTCGCGACAATTTATATTCGCGTTACTTTTCTACTCACAAATATCGCGTTAATAAATTGCTCGCGAAAATCAGTTGGTGTACAGTTATACGATTAATAGATAGCAACGATGAGTAAACCAATTATAGATATTATAGGGTAAGGCACGGGATTACTAAATCAAATATTTCCCGCCATTTGTTTTGAAACGACGCTTTCCTACAATGCAGCGTTCTTATGCCAATTAAAAAAGTTCGAACATTTTTATATTTCACCTGGTTCTACTGAGCAGTTGGGCAACAGCCTATGATTATTCCACGATAACCAATTGTTGGTATATCTTCTGTATTCAATTAATCCGTCCCGTATCAGTTTAAAGCGTTGGTTAAAGGTACTTTACAATCATGTTGTCTCACGTCAACTTGAATCTTAGTCCACATGTTCATTGTAATCACGGTTTGGTACATTAAAAAAAAATGTGTGCCAAAATAGGGTTTTGAACTAGATTTCCTGGTTCACTGGGCATCGGATGTGATAGTGTCAGCCCAGCATGTTGTCCTAAGGACGAATATTCTTGATTGTTGTTTTATATATTTAAAGACAAGAAGGATGCATACCTGCCAACTTTCACGATTTAGGCGTGTACTACACGATTTTGACCCTTTGTCACGATTGCACGATCGTGATCGTGAAAAAACCTCTAAAACATAATTTTTTGAAAATCTACACGAAAAAATATGATTGTTCTCGATTTTGAACTGTTCCCAAGGGAAGACAATCGTGATCAGCCAATCAAATTCTGTGTTTCTCATGATCAAATTAATAAGCCAATCAAAAACGTTTTCTCTTAAGATTATTCTAACATGCTAGATTTTGAACTTGTGTTGTATTCCTCAGTGTGTTAGTCAGAATTGTAAATTCGTGAACATGGAAGGTTAATTTTCATCTGCAAGGAGGTTCTTAAACAGCTTAAGAATAAAAGCATGGCTGATTGACAAAATTCAATGATGCAGTACTACCATAAAGATAATAAATAGTAGTTTATTCACTAATTTATTGACATTACACTTGCTGTAACAAGTCATATGTCATTTTTGTATTCAATTAAACAGGGACAGTCTATATAAATGGGGCAAATCATTTAAAGTACAATGTACTATACATTTTGTACTTCATTTTTCACAAGGACCAAACAAACCGGTTTGGAGCAAACCCCCCAAATGAGGGGTATATCCCTTAAATGAGGGACTGCCCCCAAGACATTAAGACAAGGGGTCATTTTACTGTTGTAAAAAAGAAAAAAGAAAAAATTTAGATTTTTTAACTTAAAAGTGGGAAAATTCATTATATTTGGAACAACTTTAAAGTCTTTTCTAAATGAGGGGTCCAATTATTTTTAATAATAAATAAGATAAAAATCCAGGAACATTACAAAATTCTTGGACATGTTTTGACCATATAATACCAGATAGATGGTTAATTCTTTAGGAAAAGTTTCTTCAAATACTTAATAATATAGATGTGTGCTCATTTGTACTTAAAATTGGTTTATAATGTCCTTACATTGAGGGGTTACCCCTCATTTGGGGTGTTGTTCCCAACCTGATAAAAGTCCTTCTTTGTGTGCATAATTGTAAATTTTAAACATCAACAATCATTTTATATCCTAACACAAGAAAATAAATCCTGGTCTTCTTGCTACAGATTCATCCTTTCTACTGATATATTAATAATAACTAGAGTCATGCTAATAAACTTAAGAAAAAGGCTTGTAAGCTCATCATACAAATATGACACTTTTTCTAGACCACAAAACAGCACACGCAAAATATGTCGCAAAGAAGTGTTGTCGCGCACTAAAACTCCCATTGGGACTTTCAAAAGTTGGCAGGTATGAGGATGAAAAAGAAAAGTCTACCCAACAAATAACAGGAAACAACTGTGTACGAGATAGAGAACAAATATGGCACAATCAGGCAACTGGTGGAAATGTTATCAATCCTCAGGGTTGGAATTAAACTATAGGTACATGCAAAGCAACCCGCATTAATTGGGATATACGTAAACATAGTCATATTGAACTGATAGTCACAAAAAGTTGTTGAGCAAATGAATTGACCATCATATATATTTTGTGTATATTTAAGGTTGGAAAAACAGAATACAGAACAGTTGGATAAATGGTGGACTTTACATTATGAAACATTACTCGTAAGTTGATTTCTTTGTGTTTAACGCATATTTCTTTACACTGGACGCTCTAAAGTCGGTCGTATCATCATCCTTTTAGATGATGAACTCATCTAAGGCGAAACATTATTGACACAGCAGTAAATTGAATGCATGCACTTTCCATTTGTTTTTTTTTTTGTTTGGTTGTTTTTGATTGTTTTTGGTTATTTTTGTTGTTGGTTTGTTTTGGTTGTTTTTACAATCCTTTTTATTTTTGACTGTTTTAGATCAGCAGACAGCGCACGTGGGTTGACATTCCCAAGGTAAGCTTTCTTGTTTGCCCCTTTTACTAACAAATTTGACTTACTCGGTCGACCTACAATTACAAAAAAAAACCCAAACAAAAACAAAAAAACAAAAACAATTGTGCATGTTTGATTATTCAAGACATCGCTATTAATCTTATTGTATGAGCATTTAGTGGCATTAAACTTTTTCAAAAACTATTGTGTGAAAACGACGTTCTCGATTGTAATATGATGCAGAAGAATTTCTTAATTGTGAAGCTCACGAACGAATATTTATATTCAATTTGATATATTCTGTCTTATATTATTATAAAGCTCATCCGATCAGGAACAGTGGATATCACATAGTGTTTTCGCTGGAGAAACTGCTAACATCGGAGAACCGACCTGGACGTGGAACCATCAACTGAAACGTAGAGAGTGGTATCCGAGGTCTCTCGTTATGCCATGGTCACCGTAAGTAGAGAGTCGTTTCCAAGGCCTCTCGTTATGCCATGGTCACCGTAAGTAGAGAGTGGTTTCCATGGTCTCTCGTTATTCCATGGTCACCGTAAGTAGAGAGTAGTTTCCAGGGTCTCTCGTTATGCCATGGTCATTGTAAGTAGAGAGTGGTTTCCAAGGTCTCTCTTATGCCACGGTCATCGTAAGTAGAGAGTGATTTCCAGGGTCTCTCGTTATGCCACGGTCACCGTAAGTAGAGAGTGGTTTCCAAGGTCTCTCGTTATGCCATGGTCACCGTAAGTAGAGAGTGGTTTCCATGGTCTCTCGTTATGCCATGGTCACCGTAAGTAGAGAGTAGTTTCCAAGGTCTCTCATTCTGCCATGGTCACTGTAAGTAGAGAGTGGTTTCCAAGGTCTCTCGTTATGCCACGGTCACCGTAAGTAGAGAGTGGTTTCCATGGTCTCTCGTTATGCCATGGTTACCGTAAGTACAGAGTAGTTTCCAAGGTCTCTCGTTATGCCATGGTCACCGTAAGTAGAGAGTAGTTTCCAAGGTCTCTCGTTATGCCATGGTCATCGTAAATTTTAACATGTGAACAAAAAAAACTAGGCAACATTCATGGATAGTTGCTCCTGTAAATCGAGAAAAATATCATATGAAACAACAGTTTCAATATATACTAGCATCAAAAGAAAAATAATGCGAATACAATGCATTACATAGACTAAATAAACTATATTAGCCTGTTTCAAGTTAGGAGCCTCTAATCATATGTTGCCGTTGGTTGCTGATAGGAATAGAGAAACAAGGACACCTCCTCCAGACATTCAGAAAAGAGGAAAGGGAGACTGGATTGTTGTTACATGTACATGGTTATCTATCTTAGAGAGCATTGTTTGTCGAATGAAATTGTGAAATATTTCTTTATTACGAATTTACAAAGTTTATCACACAATGGGGCCTGAGCAGGATATGAATTACTTATTTTTTCATTTCAGAAAAGAGCCTATCCAAGGATTCATCTATTATGATAATCCAACATACGCAGACAAGATGTGGTTCACTGATTTTAGCGCAACGGACAATTACACATCTGGGGCATTTGGATTTAAAAGACAGAATGAATTTTGGAGTGCAGTTGTTAGCTCAGCAACTGACATTAAATTTGGTTTTGATGATGTAAGTACGACTTAAAAGTCCTCTGGATGTGTTTTTTTGTTTGTTTGTTTGAGCTTTTTTGTTTCAGTCTGTCGCTTTGATGTTTAGGATTATTCTTTCATTTCATTTTTAGAGAAATGAAAAATTATTTACCCACTTGGGCTTCTGCTTTTTTCCGTGATTTTGTATTTATTAAAAAATCGATAAGATTGTAATTCTGAATCAAAACAAAATTCATTTGGAAGCCATCTTTTGTTTTGCCTTTCTGATAATTTAAATTTATGTTGATAAAGGATGTCCTTCGATGCAAAATATAACAAAACATGTTAAATTTTCAATATTGTTTCAATTCAACAATATCAAATTCGAAATTGTTCAAGAATTTGTTTGCTGGCAGTACTTCAACATACGTGGAACGACTCATTTCCTGTTTTCGGTTCCTTTTCAGGGTTTCTCGTTTTACAAAAAAAGACACATTCGATATCTCGCAAATGTATACTAGCAGATGCGGATATAAGGGGTCCTGTGGGACCCCCTTTTATGATGCTACATAATGGTTAATGTATAGACTTTTTTACAAGTCCTATTCCTAATGTTGCCCCCTTTCAAAGTCAAGGATCCGCATCTGATAGGTATTTGATAAAAAAATATTTTAGCATTTTAAAAGCAAAAAGATTAAAATATAATCTAATACCTTGTAATTTTCCGTTATGCATTTGCATGTATAATTGGTTATCCTAAACTTGCCTCATGTTATTTTTTTCTCTTTCTTCAGCCATCTGAGGGCAACCGTGTTTACGATGGTGATAAAAATGTACCTGGATTTTCAGACCATGATGGCGACTTAACTGCTACCTTTAGAGATAAAGACGGAAGTGTGACTGGTTTATCGACATTTGAACAAATAGTGAAACCAGGACGTTATGAAACAACGTCAGCATGTCAACTAAGAGGAAACTGGGGCATGGCCTTCTGTCCATACAAATATGCTAAGGTAAGGATTTAACTAAGTATGATTGTCGCCATTAGGTGCAGAATAGGCTCCTTCCTTCCGGAGCACTTAATATTACCTTCTTTGTGACATTTGTACAGGCCAACCTGCATATTCACCTGTCTGGGGTCATTTGATTGGCATCTTCGTTGTTCATCCCTCAAACTCGTTTTTTTTTTTCAAATGTATTCCCTAGGTCGTCATCCTTTCAAAGATATATTTCCCTAGACCATAAAATGAAAACAACAACTATCAAATATCTTTCAGGGGCATTTGTTTTGATACATACACATATTTTTATTCTTCATCCTTTTCTACGATATCTCGTTTTTAAATTTGACAACTTTTTGTTTTTTGTATCTAGATTTGGGTATCGATGAACAATGGAGTTGGAGGCTGGCCGGGAAATACGCGACCATTCATGGTCCGTGACGACGAACCTGATCATCCAGAACATATCGCGAAGGGGAATATGGCACAGTTCATGGCTATTCTAGGAGGTTCACACAGTTATACATTACACTGGACGAAGGAAATTCCACGAGAGTTCTGGATCTGGGGACAAGGCGTTGAAAAGTATGTACTTTAAGATCATATAAGCAATGTAAAGTGGTAGTGCAAAATGATATGCTAAGTTATCAAAACGGAAATATCAGCTTTCCTGTATATTAATGCAATGAAGTTATTGCATCTTTAATTTGTTTTTAGTTGCTGTTCCTTAATTTTTCTAAATGAACGAAGTTGAAACTCCCCTTACATTGGGTACCCCGTGATCCATTTAATCCATTTTAGTATTGAAACCTTGAAGTAATGTTGGCTTTACATGCTTTTGGTCACAAGAGTTGCCTGATGCAGGTTAATAAAAAAAAAACACGTGGCGTGAGCATGGTAACCACATCATGAATTTTGATAGACTGATGATAATCTCTAAAAAGAAACGTTCCACATGAAATACCGGTAAACAACTTATTGCTCTCTTTATATTAGCTCACAATTTTACCTTTGGACCAGTTTATTTGTTTGTTTATTATTTGTTATTTGTTTTGTCGTTATTGAAAGTTAAGACTATTACTTTGTTCTCTTTTTTCAGAAACCAGTTTGTCCGTATTGGTGTTTGCCTACCTGTCAATGCAGACTTCGAGTTATTCACGTGGTCTCCTCAATGGCGTCCAACCATAGGGATGTGGAAAAAGAAATCGTCTATTCAAGAACTCGACGCAGATCAAAGTGGCGATGCTTATTACTGGGACACTTCAAACGGGTATGTATTTAACAGAAAAACCAGATTCCGGAGCTTCCTAACCCCCTTCTGTTTTTTGGTAAGTTTTATGTTAGTTTTCCGAGTTGTATTGTTGATTGTTGTTTGTCTTTTCGTCGTTTTTCTTTTGATTATGGCGTTGCATGTTTATGGTTTTTGGTTGCCACGTACATTTGTTACGTTCTCCCCTTCATTGACTGCTTAGTTTATTCCTTAATCACTTGATAATAATCCGTTTGTGGTAAAAAAAAAGATTAAAAAAAGCTTTAGTAATTGATAGCATATATATGCTTTTACAATTTATATTAATTTTTTACTACTATTAGTTAGAAATTAACAAAAAAAAAAAAAAATGTTTGTGTCTTTTTGTTGATTGTCCTTTGGTTATCTTTGCTGGAACCTTCAAACAATTATTGACTAGTCACTGACGTCATTAATCAGTTGTGTGTTTTCATGTCTTTAGATTTTATCTGATTTAGTCATTATTCAAAGAAGGATGATATATTTCGAAAAAAAATATGTACGCTATCAAATATACTTGTCTTAACCGGCCATTTGATTTGAAAATATAAAAAGATATGTTATTGTCAGGATATACTATCTTCGGTAAACTCATTACTGAAGACAATAGTAAGGAGGGATTCTTCATTTCCGTATTTTTTTCTCTATTCTCTATTTTTTGCCTTTTTTCTCTATTCGTTCTCTTTCTCCATTATTCTCTATTCTGTCGTCATAAGTGTTTTGAGGTAAACTGTAGTCAATTGAAATAAAAACTGAACAAGGCTTGAAAATATATTGCTCAACTACCATAAAACAGTTGTAGCACTTTTGTTCCAGAATGCTGTTCATGAAGTTCATAAACTACAAAGAACGTACGGCGTCTACATCAAAGCTATGTGAAGGGCACTGTCCTGTTGTTAGGATCACAGTGAAGTATGGAGACAGAAGTAAAGGAGACTGTCGTCATAGAGCTTATGTTAGTCCTGGTTTATATAAGAGGCCGAGCACAGTAAGTATTACAACATCCGCCCCCCGTATCTCAAAAAAGATTGTCCTCGCCTAAAAAATGACAGAAGTAATTGAAATTGTCATCATTAGGAAAACATCAACTGTACAAAATGTTTGAATATATCACTGAAAATTCATTATCAAACTTCAGTTGCTAGCATCTGCGTTCTTTGACTTTGATAGATAATTCTCTCATTTGGCAATCATACCACGTCTTCTTAATTATATATATATGTTGTGTACAAGTTATCATGTTGTACAAATTATAATTTGTAAAAAAACATTGTACAAATTTTAATTTGTATTTTGTCTTTGAACAAATTGTCATTTGTACAAAAAGTGCTTGTTCAAATTACAATTTGTACAAAATTTGACTAAAATTCACTTATAACTTGTACAATATTTTCTAGTATGAATTTTGTTATGAAAAAGCATTGATACACACTACAGAATTTTTATTCAATGACCACACAATAAACCCTATTTACAAAATACAAAAGTACCCAGATGGAGACAGGAAATGTAATTGATACATGCATGCCAGTTAATTCTGATAGTACAATAGAAATTGGCCCCAGTGACAATTCTGATAGAATAACAAAAATTGGCCCCAGCGACAATTCTAATAGTATAATAGAAATTGGCCCCAGTGACAATGTGATAGTACAATAGAAATTGGCCCCAGTGACAATCATGATGACGCTGACGTTAAAACACCAATCAAACGTGCCAGGAAGCGTGCGCTGTCTGACCAACAGATCCAAGCCGAATATCTAACCAAGAAAACGAAACAGAAATAATCAGAACTTGCAGTGGGGGATAAAGTCATTATACCAATTCCTCAGTATGCTCGTGCCCCAACTGATCCTCGAAATATCTTAAATGTAATTATTTAATCTGGAGAACTTGGGTACCGCATTGAAACAGCTGTAGGAATTTTAACAGGATATTTGTCGAGAAATCAAATTGAAGCTGTTAAAGACACATCTTTATTCGCCGCAACATTTTCTGAGCTTCAACTTTCGCTACGTTAAGCAGTTAAGAAGCTTTCAAAAACTGGTGGTCAGGGGTTTCTTTCATGTAAATGCAAAGGGGGATGCACCACTTCTAAATGTAAATGCAAAGAGCAAAAGATGTTGTGCAATTCCCGATGCAATAATTCACTCACTCTATATATATAGATCAATTTAGAAATAAGATTAAGCAATTCGGAATTCTTTCTATTTTCAAAATTGGAATAACAGGTGTTCCGAGTGGAATGAGACTCGATAGGACACCTGTCAAATAATTTTAGACAATAGAAACTCGTTCAATAACGCGTTTGGAAAATAAGATTCGAATCTCAATGCTATATTTAGACAAATTGTGATAAAACTTTCACATTTTACAAGCGAGATAGTATGTACCTTCAGACACTATCTATTGTTTGAATAGTGGAAGAAATGAAATACATAGTCATACTTAATCAAAAAACCCCATTAAAAAAGAAGCTAGTATGTGCTTCCGAAGTTTGACTAAGGCTATACATGTATACAAAAATGTGTTGCAGTTGAACAATTTATGTAATTAATGCTAACGAAAAATTGTGTGATAAAAAGTAAAGAAGGAGATTTGTGGGTGGAGATAAAACGAAATTTTCAACAATATTGTGTTGTACACATTGCAACTTTTCATTATTAAATTATTTCTATGAAGTATAAATAAAATACTTATGTAGTTGTTTTTGCTTTAGGGAATTATGGGTAACGATGATAGATCGCTTCCTATGACGTCAGCAGCAGCTCCTGCAGTAAGTAGACATTTCTGTATATCTTTTTTTGATTTTACTTCCATGTATATATGTCGTCTTGAATATGGAATATTTATCACTTAACGTTAAGCAAACGAAATTTAATCGTTTTCATTTATGTTTTGGAATGTTTTTCTTTTTTGTGTTTGTTGTATTTTAAGGGGTGTGTTGGGAGATAATTAGTAAGAAACCTTAACTGTTTTCCTAGAAATGTTTCGTTTAATTGAGAATTATGAAAAAAAATTATTCAAAATCATACATGAATAGATGAAAATGGTATTTAAACAAAAATAAACATTATACAGACATTAAAGTGTGATGGACGCAAATAAGGAAACCTTGCAATAAAAGCATAAAGCATGAGTCGAAATTAGTGAAAACTTAATTATATAGTGCTTCAGATTGGTAAACATTTCATATCAAGAACATAACACACAAATAAAATCCAAAACGAAAGAGCAGGAAGAAACGATTTGCCGTTTTAGAATCTTATGCATTCTTTGTGATTTTTTCGAAAGCGCACTTCAGAATGTTGTGATTTAATTATTATGCTGACAACTTAAATAATGAAACTTCAACCAAACAAGAGTCCAAATCACGCGGATATAAGTAACGACTTCAGCAATGAGTAAAACCCATACTGTAAATACCAAATTTTGAACAGAGCTCTCATTTTATATAAACTAACAGTATTTTTTTTATTCACAGGGTTGGGGAGCAGGATCTCAGTTACCATTCGTGTAGATGTTTGTACTTCTGGAGACTTTGCTATTTATGAAACAATTCAGTTAAAAATAAAATACATTAACGTAACAAAAGAATTCTTTACATACTGTATTACTTTATTATTGCGTTTTATACATTATTAAAAAAGTCTGCAATATACTTATAGTTTTCAAAAGTAATATTTTTATTATGCGTTAATATTTTTAATATGCATTTGAATTTTCTTAAACATTCTGTTATATTTTATTATTCTGTAAATACTTATTTCTGTTAAAAGAGATGAGACAATATATTTGTTGTTTGTGTTTATATATGATAGTGCCATCAATTGAGTACCCTACATTTACCAAGTCTAAATGGAGAAGTCTTTATTCTTCATATCTGCATTGTTTTATTTTTAAGGTAATTCCCCGCTTTTCTTTATTTATGTGTTTGCCTTTATAAATATATTCTCTATTCTTTATATATAATCACACCATTGTTTTCTATTCTTTGCTTTCTTTATCTCATTTTTCTCTATAATTCTTTTTATTTTAATTTGTTGCTGTTTATTACTATTCCTTAACCCTCAATCAGACACTCTTTACTTATAAACTTTACGAAATTGTAATGCTGTTTATCATTTTCATACGTTATATATAATGGCGAACGCAAACAGTAAAAAGTTAACTTCGGCGGATCTACTAACCTACTTGTAGCCTAGAATAGAGGGTTTGGATGGGGATCCTTATTTCTTTATTCTTAATTTTTTAATGCCATTTGTAATAATTAAACTGAAAACAGGATTGCATTTTTTAATAGATTTATATTTAGATTTATTGATAACGCTCAGACACATAAATGTGTTACATGAGGTCAAAGTATAATACATAAACAATTAAATGATGAAATGAGCATGCAGTACTATTTAAAAACATAGAAAACAATTTGTAAATATTTTAGACTATAACTATAACTTTATTGCCATATAAATCATAATATTTGTGACAGTAACATACACAAATATAACATATACACATTATATGAATGAAATCAGGACATATCAAGTCCTTGCATTCATGTCCCCCATTAAAAGTATTTTTCCTTGTCTTGCAAAAGTACTGATCTCATTTTCAAAATAGTTTGAATTTATAGGGGGAACGTATATTGAACATAGATATAAATCTTCCTTGAAACCAAAGAACTCCTTTTTAAGTTTTAGCCATAGTCTATTTTGTGATTTTGAACTATTTATATTGGTTTGTTATACCCTTTGCTATTTCTTTTTTTTTTGTAATAAACAATAATTCCTCCACTATGTCGACGTGCATTTTTTTTCTTTTTGCGTATTTTTGAGATAGTATTATAACTCAATATTTTATAATCTTTAAACTCCCCTTTCCAGGTTTCAAGTGATATATTAATGTCACTTTGAATTTTATCGATAAATAATTCAACTTGGATTTTGTTCCCAAGGCCACGCACATTCCAAGCAGAAATAGTTAAAGAACGTTTATTTTTATGTGTTCCCATGTTAAAATAATTTTTTTTTCAAATAATTTTTTGTAAAATAAATGGTCTGAAAACAAATCATTATAAGTTTCATTTTTATATGTTTCTAATCAGGATGGCATATGAGTTTATCTACTGCCAATTATTGACATAAGAAAGATAACTCTGGTTTATCATTAAAATACAAGAGACGTCATTGTCATGATATATTCATATTTCAAAATATTTACCATACATTTGTACATAAAAGAAATTTTAAGCAATATGCAATATGCAATATGCAATACGTCATCATTTAAAAAATATCAGAGAGTAAAGAAAGATAACTCTTAATTGTTGAATAAACAAGGAAAAAAATGTTTTTCTCTATTAACTATTTACTGTAAATTATTTCTTTATACTCTAAATCTATTTATTAAACATGTTGTTCCAACTTTAAGATGACTGATTATGAATTACATTTTTAATATATTAAATGTGGCAAATCTGTAATTGCCTTACCAAAACTATTTTCTAATTTCCTTAAACTTTTTATGATTTGTGGTAAAAAATTAACATACATAAGAACTTTTAAGTTACTCTTTTGTCCAGATTAATCTCAATTATCTAATTTTACCAACCTGTTTATTCTTTCTTTTTCCCAGGTATAAAGTGCTTGTACATGTAATAATATCTATCTCATTTCTTTTAGTATATCTACATGATCAATATGATAAATGTTCAAAATTAATATCCGACAAACGTACATAGGCTTATCTCTTCTGCCTATTTTAACCAAAAATCAAAGATTTGAAAAAAAAATCTTTATTTCTTATCATTACTTAATAATGTCCATCTCTCATTCCACTTAACATGTATTCAAACATTTTGTACATGTTGCCCCTATCATTGTCCATGTGCATGTGACAAGTATTTGTATTATCTGTATATCTGTTATTTGTATTTTCTGTATAATCTGTATATCTGTTATTTGTATTATCTGTATAATCTGTATATCTTTTATTTGTATTACCTGTATATCTATTGTTTGTATTCTCTGTATATCTATTATAAGAGTTATAATTGTCCTGTCTGTAACCCTGATGTCCATATGTATCTCTTTTATTTAACACACTTCGATTCTGGTCGTAATTTGACCTTACCGAATAGCTATTGTTGTAAGAACCTGGATATGTTTTATCATATCTGACTGATAAAAGTGGATTCAAAATTTCCTTTACACATCTGACATAAAATTTGGATGAATACCATCATAGAAATCTGAGTGAATCATATTTTTAAATTGTACATAATGTAACACAGTATCAACACAATAATCTCTCAGTAAAACATTGTATAGACCAATCTTCTCATCATACGTCTCAGATTTGTTTCGATCACCAAGATAATATCTTGGTAAATGTTCCCCGATCACAGCTGTAGATTCTGGTAGAGTAAATTTAAGCTCACAAACAAGTAATTCAATCTCTTGTAGGACATCGTCTGGTGATTTTCGTTCCAAATCATTTGATCCTATTTGTAGCAAAACATGTTTAGCATGTACTGTTCCCAATTCCACAAATTTGGTTGCTCCCTCTACAGTTTTATCTCTCAGAGTAGTGATTTTCACTTGTTTATTCTTGTACATTTTTTGACTATCGAGGTCTTTCACAATAGATGATCCTATGACCCACAAATCAACTTTTTGTATGTTTGTGTTTTTGGAATTTTCAATGCTATTTCCTGACTCTTTTTCTATCATACTTTCTGTATCTTTAACAGATTGCGTAACAGTTTGTGTACATCTTGCTTCAAAAAGATCTTTCATTTGAGAACATGTCTTGTATTCTCTCTAATGTCTTGAAATTTGTTTTAATACCTATTCTTAAATCCATAAAATTTCTATTTATTTCTTCCAGGATTTTTTCCTTCATTTCTTTTGTTGAATTTTCCAATTGTTTAAGTCCATTGTTTTCTACATGTACATTCTGATTCATTTCGTTTATTTGAGGATTTATTTCTTCTTTCATCTCTTGTATTTTCTGTTCTATTTGTGTTGTCTTTATATTCAAACTATCTACTGTCTTGCATATTTCACTACCTTGAAACTTAACTTTTTGTATTTCTTTGTAATTTTCAGCCAATTTTTCATTATTCATTAGATTTTGAGCTTTGTTTTCCTTGTAATTTTCATTTGCCGAAACAAAAGCTATCTTTTCAATGGATTGGTTAATTTTGTGAACTTCTGATTTTATTTGGTCTATATCTTCCAATTTGGTTATGATTTTTTCACACATAATTGTTAAATTATTGATTTTTTCATCCCTGACAATGTGTTCATTCTCTAATTTATGGAATGCTGATTTAAAGTGTTTTTATTTCATTTTCCTGTTAATCCATTTTCTTCAGAACACCTTCAAGCATATTCCCTCTTTTGCAATCAACTTTATTTTCAGTATTTCCTTGCTTATCTATGTTTTTACTAAATTTATTGTGTTCACCCCCTCCAGGCTCTTGTATGAGTTGAGATCATCTGAATGCTCTGTTTCATTCGTTTTGTTCAAACCGTTATTTTCATTGTTATTTTGTGATTGTTGAATGTGAACTGGGTTTGTGATGCTTACCTCCTTTTCTCTACTTTCTTCTGCCACTTTATTGTTTTCTTTTTCTACATATTCTTTTTGGGAAAAATTATCACCCATTTAAATGTCTTTTATTTCTTTGACAATATTGACTGACTTATCTTCCTTTGTACACACTAAAGAAGCTATAATTTTTCTTGATTCCTGGGAATTCTAATTGTACCCAGTCAGCTGTCAATTGACCCTGAACTAAGGCGGTATTTGTTGTATAAAATATAGTAACAACGATTTTTTTCTTTTTGTTTATTGTAACATGAGTTACCGATTTGAACAGCTTTTTTGTGGAATTTTCCATACAAACGTATGTTTCTCGTCGTTTGTTGTTACTATCCTCGATTTTCATCGTGGTCTGACCATTTAACATCTACTTTGGTTTCTTTTCCTAGATCTATAAAGTATCTAATTAATAGTGCCCTTCTCCAGACCAACACACTGTCCTTACTTAATTTAAACGAAGCTTGGTTTGAAGACTTAAGAAAAGTTTATGAAGCCGTCTTTTTGGGGCGAGTTCCCCCTTTTTTTGAACTATTTGCCATTTTATTGTTTATAGCTGTGAATTGGTTTGGCTTCTATTTAACGCCTGTTTGTTTTGAAATGTATGGCCATCTGACTTTTTGTTAACTCTCAACCAACGCTGACCCTTTTCATACCATTTATTTATCTTTTTAGGCGCAGGGAATAACTCTCGTGTATAACATGGAGGCAGCCTCTTGAAATCATTTAGAATAAACAATAAATTTTCTTAATAAAAATTGAGAGTCGTTTGTAGACTTCCATATTACATGTAGACAATAATCCTTCCATTTTAATGTATTGTGAATGAATAGTATAGTATCTAGGTAAGTATTGGTTTCTATAATTAACAATAGAATCATGTTGACATACAAATAAAACATAAAATTCATCACCAACAAATTCATGACAAAGTACACATTCTCTCCAGTCATGGTATATTATGCCAAAGCCCCGTCTCGATTGGAATACGTAATTTCGATGTCCTTAATTTTGTTACCCAGCCTCTATTCTGTTCAGATAG